AGTCGCTTTTAGGAGTCACCCCACGGTGAAGTTGTGAACTACTTTTCGCGAATATACAACTTCGTAATCTCTCTTTCTCTCTCTCTCTCTCTCACACACACATACACACACTCTATCACCATCCCTTTGTTCCTCTCTCAATCCCCTTGCACTTTTGTCTCTCTTTCTCCCGTTCATCCTGTTGCAGGAGAAACTATTCGATATCGTGTTCTGTGAGACGAATCGTATTAAGGAGTTGCTGAATCAACTCTAGTCGCCTCTATAATATTGCCTTCCTTCGATGTAGAAGTATCAAGTTTTGTAAAAAAAAAAAAAAAAAAAATTCGATCGCTATTTGTAAAAGAATTCGAAGAAGAAATGGAGAGAATTTTTTTTTAAACAATGTTTCCATTGGGCAAATTGTTGAGCATATATAAATTTCAAATCTCGTTTATTATTCGCGATTCGAGAATAGTAAGTTCAATCATTGGAAAATGGAATATTATAATTTTATATTATTTTAAATTATTAAGTTAAAAAATTAAAGCCAATCTAATTATAGAGAATATATAAAAAATATGAAGAAAATTATTCTTTCCTTAATTATTAATCTATTAATCTATAAATATGAATTTCTCGACGTAATTTGCACATGACTTATGATTCTCCACCCCTCCAATTATTAATATGAAAATTTGGAAATATATATAGAGAATTTTCAAGAGTAATTATTTTTTAAATTACCTCTTTTTTTCGTAATTTTATTATACTGTCAAAGGGTTAAGAAAAAAATCGTTTCGAAAATATTATATACACATACAATTCAATTTACTTTCTATTATACTTTTTTTTTTCAAAAATCTCGTTAATTATACTTTATTTAAATTTCGATAAACCGATGGAGAAAAAAAAAGAAGAAGAATGGTAAATTTCAAAGGTAAAAAAAAATTCACTTTAAAACCATTTTTCCTTAAAATTGCGTTTTCAAGTTTTGCTCAGAAATGCCGCTAAATTCTCACAAACTGCCTCTTCCTCTCAACTCATTCCAAATCTCAATCTAGACCCAATCTACACTAAACTCTTGGCCAACTCTCGGCGTACGAATTTCCTCCCTCGTTTCTGAAAATACACACGTATGCATCCAAAATTTCCTTTTCAATATCGCAACATGGATAAAAATTCAAATTTATAAAGAAAAGAAAAAAAAATCCTTCATAAAAAACGAAATATAAATACGAATAATAAACAAATAAATAATTTAATGTAGAATATTCGAGTCCAATATATATTATAATATTATCGCCATATTAGGCGTTAATTCGAATAGAACGAAGTATATCTTCGATTATAACATCTTTGCCTTTCAAACCCTTTCGGAAGCAATTCGAATCGCGAGAATTCCATTCCCGCGAGCGAAAATTCCGCGTATCACCGATACGTCGTCGCATTTGGCACGCTACAAACGTTATCGTTAGCATCCACGTTCGCAATCACAATGTAGAACGATCTGGCATTGGGAGAGCCATAGTCGCACGCATATTCGTGTCGCGATATATGAAATATTGGAATGGAAAGGAGAAGTCGGTAAATTTTTCGAAATTTTCGCCTCGACTCGTGAAAAAATTTGATTGTAAATATTTTTCTTTTTCTCCATATATATTCGGTGTAATTGATAATAAAATTAAGTAAAGAGTGTCTAATATATGCTCGAGTATTACTTTGGAAAAAAAGACGAAATTTTGTTTTTCGAGACTTTTATTTTCGTTTTCGAAGGAATCGAGTTTGAAAATTGACCGAATAGAAATGGATTATTAGTGCAATGTTATTCTGTATGCGGAAATAAATTAGAAATTTTCGAAGTTTTTGAGAAGATAGTATTTAAAGATTGCTCGAATAAATTGATTAAATTATTGGTTACTTTTTTTAAAACGAGAACTTGGATAAAAAAAATTTATTCTGTACATCTCTATTCATTTTCAGAATAATACGTAGAGCAATTTATTGTCAATAGGAAATTTGTTCACAAATTTTTGCACTCGATTTTTATGAAAATCAAGACTGGAATGGAAAAATATTATTCTTTCTTTCCCTCTTACTTTATATATTGAACTATCTCTTATATAACAAATCCTTTGTGTATAGTATAATATATATTTTTACAAAAAAAAAAAAAATATTCATTCGAGCAATTATTTTCCAACAATAAGAATACAAGTAAATAAAGAAGTAATAAATTGTGTGATTTGATATTATTATTTACATTTTGCGTTGTACGACAATAACAAAACTTTTTAACTTTCAAATAATAAATTTATATAAATTCATGTAAACAAAGCGCACAATGGATCACGAGGTAATGGAAAAGAAAGAATAACCGTTTATTTGCAAATATACGAAGGAAAAATAAATATTTCTCTTTGCGTTCTTTTCATAATGGACACATTTGGTCTTTTTTTTTTTTTCCGGCAGTACAAACAAGATACAACGAAACATTTGCCGTTCATTGTTTCGAGAGGACGTGCTCGGTAATTGGATTCACGAATGCGAATTGAATATGTAAAGCTGGTTAAAGAGGAAAAGCTTGCTTTCGAGAGTTTCGAGAGATTGTTCGAGATGTTTCTAGATTTTGCAAATCGACGATACTTCTTCCTAGGTTAAGGAAAATACGTCTTGTTCTTTTGTAAATTCATTTCCTCCTTTTTTCTTTTTTTAATTTTGACTGTATTTTAATCAATGAAATATGAAAATATGAAGAGTTTGCGAAAGTTTCAATACTACTTTTTGACAGATATATTGTAGTAAATCATTTAATAAATAATTTTACTTTAAAGAAATAAAGTTTCAATAGAAAAATATAATTTTGATATATTAATTATTATTGTTTGCGAGAATCGTTGTTTATGATTGATATACTTTATTCAATTTTTTAATTTTGTATCTCTAATAATTGAAAAATATTTGTTTAATATTCCGTATTTATTTAAGAAATTTTACAATAAAAGTTATTTCCATCCAAAGCCAACGCATCACATTCAATCTTTTTCTTTAATATCTTCTTCTATTTTTCTTTCAAATCTTTGAAAATTTGCAAATTTTTTTAATTTCGATCAACAAAACACAGCAATTATTTTCTATTTTTTATTATTCTAATTTTATATTCGGGCGTAATTATCGTGGAATGGAAATGGAAATTTGATATTTTTATTTTTTTATCGTTTTCACATTATAAGAAATGAGAAATATAAAGATGTTAATGATGGCATACGAATGATTCCTGCATTTCTCTGAGAAGAGAGAAAAAAAAAAAAAAAGAAAAAGAAAGAGAAAGAAAGAAGAAGGAAGAAAAAAATGCCATTATCGGAATCGAACCATTTTCACGCCGATAATTTTACCGCAGAATGAAGTCCGTTCTCAGTGAATGCGCCGTTCCACTGGACGAAACAATAGGGTGCAATCGACCCATTTTCATTAACACGATCATATTTCATAAGACGCATTTCATAAATGCGGCATTAGTAAACAGGAAATGAACGGCAGACAAATTTTTTTTTTCCTTGACTATATGTAGAGCAAAAAATCAGATCGTTTGGTCGTTTAAAATTAATTAAAAACAATTTTTTTCGAATGATTTTTCGAACTATTAAGAGGAAAAGAAATTTTTTGTTCAAGTTCAAATGTATTTATATAAGAAGAGTGAATACTTTTGAAGAAAATGTTAT